AAAATTTCATTTGTGCGAAAGTTATTGTTAATAATTTGTAATAACAGTTAGTAGTATTATTCCTGTATAGCTGGATATTACTTGAATAAATTTTGTGTTATCTGTCTGTAGATAATCCACACTAAGAGTGGAAGAAAAGGGCAGTGTAAGCAGAAAGAGTGAAGAGAGGAGAGATAAGTACCATAGAGACAGTGGAGAGAGTGACAATGTTTCACTTACAGAGAGCGAGCGAGAGAGCACAGACAGACACATTGAAATGAGTGGGCCAGCTAACAGGCCTCGGGAGGCTTTTTAAAGGGAGGCCAGGTGCTGTTAACTTCACACACTTCCTGCACAGTTCCCTCTCACACACGCCACAGTCAGAGAATTCCTACACATCTGCCTAATAATGTGTGTGTGTGTGTGTGTGTGTGTGTGTTTAATAGAGAAAGATAAAAGAGTCCAATTAAAAATAAGTATTAGTAATGTTTTTGTGCATTGCCAAACTTTCTTACTTAGGAAAAAACACCTGGAAATTTCTGGTGAATTTTTTAAATTATTAATATTATCATTTATTTTCCTTTCAATTTTCATTATTGATTAAGGCACTAAATCCAGGATTTGCCCATTTAAGCATGAACTTTTATGGTTGTGTTGTGGCTCATTTTTGTAATAAGAAATGGTTGCCAAGGACATGGACTTCATTGATTGTAGGCTGTTGTTAAATGAGCTTTTAATGTTGTTATATTAATAGTAGTGCATGTGTATACAAGAAGGTTTGCATTGATCTGTAGATAATGTGATATGATATAATGGACCGTCTAGATGATTGTTCTGGTTTAATAATCTGTGATTGTATGGATTTATAGTGTGGTTAGCCATACTCTAAAAAATGAACTTCCTGTCTGGAGAGGATAAGTAAAAAAAAATCCACCTGCCATCTATTTCAACATCATCCATTAGAATTCAATTATAAATTCTGCGGTAATTTATAAAACGTCATTTTTCATTGGCTCTCGCTCGCTATATTTCTGTTGTTTAACTCTCAATATTGTTTTTTGATCAGTTCTGTGCTTTTTATTAGCCACACTTCCATATGCATTTATGAATGTCGTGTCCAGATGCACAGGACACTGTTCATTTTAAATATTTTTCCCCTGCTAACAGCAATTGTTACAGGAAGCGGTGTGTAAGTCGCTGGCCCGGTGTAAAAATGACAGCAATTAACCCGACATTTTAGCTCGAGGAGAATTTAAGATGAGACGCCTGACAGCCAGTGTCAGCCATATTTTCCCCGTCTTCTTCAGGTGTAAGAGCAAATGAAATTGGAGGTAGTATCGCAGTTGAGGGAACCACTTGGGGAGGAGGGAGGGGGGTGTCCACGGAAAACAAATGATCTAAAAAGGACTTATTTTGCACTTATTTACTTTGTTTTCACAAAGATTTTGCGCAAATGCTAGAACACACCTGGAAAATATCCAACAATAGACCATGAACGGAAGCATAACAGAGGAAAAACTAGTGTGCTAATTGATATTCAATGAGTCTGACTCCATCATCACCCCACAAACACATTAACACACATGCATGCGTTCAGAAGAGGTGGGAGGAGGCGTCTCTAGGGGTCCATTGACTGTCATTCAGGAGGGGAAAGTAACAAAGTAACGCAGAGACGCCACACAAACAGCCTGTCTCCCCCGCCGTCCACCGGGAGCTGCGAGTGCAACATCTTCAGGCAGGGTGATGACGGCTTTCGCCGCTCATCAGCCAAATAAAAGCCCCTCTGATGCAAATAACACTTTGCCCTTGAGCATAATTTAAAGCAGTAATCACCCCTGGAGTCTCTACCGTGCAGATAGCGAAAGCGAGGTGACTGTCTCATTTACACTCCAGCACAAAGAAGCTCATTAGCTTTATCACACCGGCCTGAGACTCCTCCACTACAGTGTGTAAATAACACACACACACATACGGTTTCACCAGAGCACGTGTTTTCATATCTTTCACACCTTTCATAAAGCTCTCATAAAGATCAGTGCTAGAAACAAAATAAAATGTGTTTTATGCACTCTCGATGGCTTGTTGTTGCATTTTACGGTTACCATTTCACTATCAGCGAACATTGTAGACGTCGAGCTTTGACATATAGAGGCGTGCTGCCTCTCGCGATGACACTGCAAGATATAAGCCTCGCCGTGACTGATGTGCCTGCTCCGTTCCTCCCCAGACAACAGCAGGCATTATTCTATTATCGCCGCAGACTCAGATCCTGGAGTGGTCACTTGTGTTTAGGCCACATAACATGTGGCTGTATGGAAATTACAGTGTGCCTGCAGTAGTAACTCCATTTCCCATCGGCCTCTCTAGAGACCGGGCGAAATGTCAATCCGTGGCTTTGAAAGAGAGATCGAGCGAGGGACAGGATGAGGAGGAGGGATAGAGAGAGAAAGGAACAGAGTGAAATATGCTGGAAACAAACACTCATGAACATTGCTCAAGCTTGGGCGACCCTAGTAGCGTC